CTTCAGCATGTATTAACTAAGAATGAGATATGGGATTTCTCCACTCCACAAATAGGTGAAGTAACTGAATTAAACTGGGGATCTGTATCATCTCGATTTTCTGATCAGATCTTCCTAAATCTAAGTTTTAGGAATGTCATAATTCAGTGAAAGGTAACCACTGGTAAAATTAATCATGAAATCCATTTGGTCATGATAAAGCTCTTGTAAATAATCCTGGAAAAAATCAGCCAGTGTGGTTAAGCATGCAGGACTGGGACTCAAGAGTACTGGGTTCTAGTCCCTACTCAGCTTTGGAGCTAAATGGGTGACTTTGGACCATTCACAGAGTCTCAGCCCAACCTACTTCACAGATTGAGAGGAAGAGCAGAATTATGTAAGCTGCCTTGAGTTCCTTGAAAGGAAAAAAGCAGGATATAAATAAATGCAGAGTTAACCATTTATTTATTTATTTAAAACATTTATATGCCATCCTTTACGACAATCGTCTCAGGATGGCTTACAGCAATTAAAACAATCAATAAAACAGTTCAATAAGATATGTACTATGTGGGTTGCCCAGCATTTTGTGTGATAGCAATATTATTCACCCTGACATTTTCTTTTAATGCACGTGTCCCATGTGAAGGTGGCAAACCTATGAACATCCCAATCTCATACGAGCGAGTTACACATCTTCTTACTTGCAATAATTGAAGTATGTTTCTTCTTTCACAAGTTGCTGGTACACATTTCTTTGGTTACTTGCCAAGAAATTAGTCTTCCCTCAACCCACCCCCCAAAATGACTTGACTTCTTAGAAGGCTAGAATATCTAATTACTCTTATATCAGCAGTATAATCAGGTTTTCACCAAAAACAAAACAACTTTTTCCCATGACATATCTGAGCGGAATGCCAATCGAATGTTGTTGGCTGGAGAATATTGTGTCAGTAAGCCTTGCTCCATGTATAAACTTTAATGTGAAATATTAGTATGTTCTTTTTGATAATGATTTTAGATAAAGCAACTCCTCATTCTTACTATATACTTGCCTTAGGGAAGGCTTGTGATGCATCAATTGGCTTTAGAATGATTGCCCAAATAAATAAGACTGTAATCCTTTAGAGACTTAGTTTGGAGTAAAACCCATCAAATCTTACTTCAGAGTTCACATGCACAGGAGTATATGATATGGGCTAGGGTATCCTGGGAGCTGCGGGTCTCTTTTTGATCTTAACAGGCATAGCATCATGCTCCAAATTATGTGAAACAGTAGACTAACAACTTCATTATCAGCGGTGAAGAGCTTTTAATTAAGCCACATGGAAGTTTTGGGGCACTGCTCTGTGGAGGACATCCAGAGGTTCACTGATGGTCCGTGGTAATCCCAGTCGAGAGTGTCATGTTCTCCAGTGTGGATCTCCCCTCCGGCTAAGAGGAAGACTTGGGAGCAGTGAAAGGCTTTATCCAGCAATGGCATTTATCTATTAAAAATATCTCTTGACCCCTTCCCAAGGTGGTGTATGGCTAAAATAAAATAAAATAACTTGGCAATAAAACATTAAATAAATAAAAACAGCAAAAGCAGAAAACATTCTAAAGAGCATCCAATGCCAGCATACATTGAAACTTTAAAAGACAACTGCACCTACAACCTATTTCAGTAACGCATCATCAGGAGAAGGCCAGAGTAAAGTAGTAAGCTTTCAGGGTGTGTAATATGGGACCTGGTAGACCCACAAAGGTAGTTTATTGTAGAGCTAGGAGGATGCTTCAAAAAAGTAGTTGCCCACCCAACTTCCTTCACAATGGCCATGAGAGGGTCCTGTTTTACTAATATGAAAGTGCAGGTAGGTTGATGGGTGAAGGTTTTTAAAGTCAAAACTTTCATTTTAAATCAGACTCAGAAACACACTGACAACAAGTGAAACTGGTGCAATATTGACATTTTCTACTCAAATTGCTTCACCCCCAACCAGCTGTGGGCAGTGCCAGCTGAAGTTTCTGGGCTGGCTTCAAAAGCAGATATCGCGCATTACACTTTTGTGTGAATTAAAATTATATTGCTTTTAACGATGATGTAGTCCAATATTCTGGAATAACAACAGTATACACTTTGAGCAGAAGAAAAATATTGTGAACTATTTCATCCAGCAAAACTCAATTTTGTGATCAATTATCAGATGGAATGTAACATTTCTAAGATAGAAAACAGCTATCTAAATTAATTCTAATTGATAATAGTGATATTTAAGTGTTTTGCAGATACAGTAAAGTGAAAAGCGGAATAGGTTAATCTGGTATGGTCCAAATATGCTGCTGATGATGACGAATAACTTTTCTTTTCAGACTGTTATTCTTCTCTCCTTCAAGTCATATATGACATTATGCTCAAGTTCAACACTATTTAGAAAGGCCAAACTGCAGAGATCAGACTGTAGAGATGATCTGCAAGGTCATATTTAAAGAACCCAGACAAATAATGTGTGCAATTTCCCCCCTTAAAGCTAAGGCATATATGAAGAATCAGAATATGAAATTAGGATGAAGACCCACACAAAACATACAATTAAGAACAGAACTCAGTATTGGTACTGGGACCCAACAGGCCAAAAGTATTTTAGACATGGCAGGAACCAGCTTGTGCATAGGAAAAGTCTGAGGGGTAGAATAATAGCCACCATGACACATACCAAGTGCAGTGATGACCAGTACTTATAACTTCTTCTCCATTGTCAAGGCCTGGATCTACTAACTGTCAGAATTTCAGCATGTAAGGGGCAATAACAGTTACTTCAAGAGAAGTTTCAAGTAATAATTTGACATAGATGGGGAAGTTGGCTGAGGGGAACAATTAAAACTGAGATGAGCTACAGCTGGCACTGCACACATGCATTGTTGGTGGCATCTGTGTGTGGAGATCAGTAGGCTGACCAGTTCCTATGTTGGCTTATTTGACCAAACACACTGATGCAATTAGATCATATGGATCCAGAGCAAGGCACAGAGAGGGCATTAACCTGTGATACATAAAATGTTTGCTTGGAAGTTATACAATCATGGAGATAAGATCTCCATATTTCCTTTAAGTGGTTTGTAATTATAAATTAGACATTGACAATTAGTTTTGGCTGGCTAATCGATGTTTATTTTGTTGTTACATGCCTTCAGGCTGTCTCCAATTTAAGATGACCCTATGAATGAATACCCTCCAAAATGTCCTAACCATGACAGTCCTGGTCAGCTTTTGTATACTCCGTGTATATAGAGAGATGATTTATTAATTAATGACACTTTTATGGATGTTTTTCTGAATTTGATTGCTGCTTAGACAGCAATTAGATATTATATGTGCCAGTTTGCTTATAAATATTAATTCTTGAGGGAAAAGTGTAAACTGCTAATACTAGGCAATATAACTTCCAATCCAACTGAATGGAGCTTCCTGTACTATTTTCATTCTGTTTACAATTTTGAAGTTAAATTCAGTGAAATATACTTTTAAGTTAGACAGAAAAGATGAAAGAACACAGTTCTAGAGCACTCTATTCGTAAGCCTCATTCCCTTCCAGAGATAAGCTAGAATTCATCAGAGAACTGCAGAAAATTCTGGCTTATTCATGAATAGCACCCTAAGTTCATGCAGCCTGATTATTCCCATTGTACTCCTTCTAGCACCAAGAGCTGCTAAATTAACCTGAAAGTAAAACTTTAGCATAATAAACCTTAGCACAAACTGGGATCATGGCTTATCACTCTGCTATTAAGGTGGAACTTGAATATTACCAAAAATTCTAGCTTCAAAATTTAGCTTGATAGAGGATCAACAAACCAGAAGTTTCTTCTCCTTGAAGAAATTCGGAGAAATGATTCCCACCAGTTTCTCTGCCCGCAAAAAGGTTGGAGAACTTTGATAGCCCATATGCAGAGGCAGCATTATACTGCTTCATGTTACTTCTCTTCAAGAAGTAAAAATGTACAGTCACAGAGCCATGACTTATCTGTGTTAGCACCTTCTGCGAATATGCCTTCAATAAAATTGTATCTTACCACTTCTCATAGTGTTTCAATGTGGTTAAAACTGGTTCCATACTAAAATATTAGTCCTGGTTTTGGTTTTCTTCCATGCAATTCAGAGTGGTTTTAACTTTATGCTTGAGTTTTATTGACTTTTTAAAATTGTACCAGCTTAACTGCTGCAAGTGGGCTTAATTGGGCTCCAAGTTCTAGTATTACACATAATATCTAGTATCTCTGTAAATACTGTTTGTGATTGTACAATTTTCTGTATTGCCTTCCCCTTGCCCTGTTTCTGAAACTGTGTGGTTGGCTACTTAAAGTCTCCCATATGCCCTTTTATTGCACTGCCACTATGAGAGATTGGCTCACTCTATGTCCTGGGAAATTAACCAGTTCTTTCATTTCACTAAATGAAGATGCAAGTTTAATCTAACTAAATCAATGTACTTTGAAAACATCTTCATCAGTCTTCATAACCTCAATTGGTGCAATAATGGTTTACATGCGATTATGTCATTCTGCTGGTTCAAAGTATCTACCTCTTTCCTAAACATGATTTTCATTCTTATGCAGCTATTAAATCTAGTACTTTGATGCCAGGGTGTTATTCAAGTTGGTTCACAAGATTTTTCACAAGGGTTTCACAAGCTGTTTTTCAAGGGATTAATCCTTCTAGTAGTTTTTCAGCTGCTATAGAACAATGCCAACTCTTGCCATTTTTCATTACTGCAACACTGGAATAAACCAATAATTGCAGATAAACAGAGAGTGAGCACAGAACATTACCCACTGTTTTTAAGGGTGGTCTTTGAAGGTGGGTGTAATCATGCAAAGAGAGTTTGTAGAACATTACCATGCAGATGCATTTAGTACTGTTAGTGCTGCACTTTTCTAGTACACTAAAGTCTCATTCTGTCTCTTAAGTATGCTTGACAACTGAATAAGGTTTCAAAACACAAAATGAACATCCCTATTTCTTGTTCCTTTTTATTTTTCAGGTATGGAAAAATTGTATCCACAAAAGCAATTCTAGACAAAAACACAAATCAGTGCAAAGGTAAGTGCCAGAAATTCTCCCTGCGAATTCCACATCAAGTTGATTGGTTTGTGCTGCAAATGTTCAGGCTCTGACAGTGCAATTAACATAATGTACAGTATATTGAAAACATGTTTAATAATGCCAGAGCTTGGAGTTGTACTTCCAGTAACATTGCTCATTAATTTTTTTCATTAACAAACAAAATGAAAATCACAAATCAGAACTACTATCAAATTGCTTCGGCAGCAAAGTAAATTACCTTCTAACCACACAGTGTCATCTGATTTGAACAATATTATTGGTGATGCAAATTGATTTCCTACGTAAAAATCCAGAATTCTTTGGAACGGTTTTCCAAGTAAAGCCTCATTCTGCTTTCTTGCTTCTGCTCCATTGTTAGAAGAAATAAACATTAACTGTTGCCCAACAGGTTACTTCTAAAATTGTGACATAATCAAATGGAATGAATCCTAGTACCTCTTGCAATTTATTTTTATTTCATAGTTAATTGACACTTAAAAATTTATTTTTCTTTAAAGTGTTGTATATATCTTCCTTTTAAAATACCCCTGTGCAAAAGATTTCTAGACTATAACCATGGTATTTGTTCAAACCTCATCATTTCTATTGAGAAGATGTTTCACTGAAGTTCTGTCACTTCCAAAACAACTTAACTCTATGCATCATAGAAAAATATTTTTTCACATACCATGGTATTTCTAATACAGTTGACTCCAAAAAGAAAGTTTTAACTAATGATGGTGCCAAATCCTTTGACATCACTGGAAGCAAAATGGGCCTCAGTTCAGAATGTAGTTCACCTTGAACTTGTTAGTTCGACATTTGTTTGAGGTGGATACATTCAAAATCACACTGCTGGGGAGTGGGGATGAAACCAGCCCAAAATGAACCCCAAGCCCCAAATCACGTCTGATGGTGACAGGTGTCTTTAAATGAGAGCTCTCCCAATCTTATCTGAAATGGGAAGTGGAAATCCGAGTGAAAATGTCGAAGGGGCACATTGGCAGTAGGATGCTGATAACTTTCTGCTATTTTTTTCTCCTTAACCTCACATGTATCCACTCAGTTTGAACTGGAGCTCAGTTAGGCAAAACAAGCTCTCCAGAAAGGACCTTCCCTCCCTCTCCGCACAACCCCTTCATCCTTTAAATTATGTCATCACAATTGTGTTCGACAGACTGGAGGCAGTGCTGCATTCCAGCCTGTTGGTCTGCCAGTCACTGCCGCAAGAAGACTGTTGTTGCACCACCTTGCACAGGTGCACTAGAGATGACTGAGCAGCTGTGGTAATGTGCCTAAATTTAGTCACAAGCTCCTAGGTACCTGAGTTATTGATAGCCTTGCCATTTCTGATCAAAGTAAAATTTCACATTGGTTTTACTGTATTATCTCTCCTTTTGATCTTATTATGCTTCTTGCACACACTCTTTTCCCACCGGAAAACCTTCCAAATTACTTCAGTTATCATCATGTCATTCTCTAGTGAGAATGTGAGAATACTGTTTCCCTGGCTATGCATTAAAGGTTTCAAAATGCAATCCCTCCTACCTTCTCCAGTTATTTGCTCAGTATAATAAATTCTGAAGATTTGTTCAATAGAGAGCAATGAGGTTTTTCTCAAGGTTATAATGTTCTAGCTGGTGATGATGGGGAGTCTGAGTCCCACTGCTTTCTTCCACCATTTTCAGAAAGGCAGAAAGCTATCAAAAGTTCACCTACATACACATGAACCCTGGACAACCTTACGATTCATCCTTTCCCTCTTGCCCCATCTTTGGAGGTAAAGCAGGTGGCATCTAGGGACACGGCTTTATCTGTGTTGGCACCACAGCTGAAAAATTCCATTTCCACATTTGTCCCCTTGGTACTAGCCTTGCATCTCTGTATAAGTATCAGATTTTTTTTCCTGCCCTTTCAGTGCCTTACAGGGTTTGCTTTCATTGTTGTTATGGACTTGTACTGCTGTTCAGTTTTAATGTTGTCATTTAATTCAATCAGGTTTCAGGCTGCTTAAAAAATTCTCTTAAAGGCCACAATGCTGCAGTGAAATCATTGGACTTTACCTCTGGGTACACATGCCTAAGATAGTTCTGCACATGGGTTTTATTTGGTAACTTTGTTAATTATCTCGAATAAATGTTTTTGTGTTTTGTTTTAATTTGGAAGCTACCTTGGACACCTTCTGTATGGTTGAAAAGTAGGGTAGAAATACACTAAGTGGATGACTCAATGAATAAAGCATTTATGGCTGTAGGCAGTGCTGTGAACCCACTCAGAGCTCTGTTTTTATATTAACATCTGCCAGTGGCATACCAACAAATGGAATCCTGACTTTTCCTCCCTGGTTGCCTGCCTGCCTGCTCACAGTGCCACCATCTTAGCTGCCTCTGCGGGGAGGCTGTGGGATGCTTTGTTTTCCCAGCCAGAAGAGGCAGTAGTAACAGCACGTGGGCAGGAGCATAACTGACACCTAAGCATTTGATTTGCAGTTCTGCAGGACACAGATGTTAATTTAAAAACCTGCGCTCACAGCACAGTGAGCTCTCTTTAGCCTTTTACGCCTGCTGGCCCTAACAATGGCTTCTGTTAAACAGACGGCTGTCTAATAGCTTAGGAAGGCTAGGGAAATGTCTCCTAATGCAAGCCAAAAGCTGTGAGATAGTTGACAATTTCTCTGACAATGTGCTGATTGAAGGAAGCCATCAGATTGAAGAAAGTGACACCTCCTCTGGCTAAAGGGAGGGACAATTAGAGCTCAGTCCTATGCAAATTTAGGCAGAGACATGGAATTGCAGAACCATAGAACCACAGAAAAATAGAGTTGAAAGGGACCAATAAGACCATTGGGTCCAACTGCCTGCTCAGGGCAGGAGTCCAAGTTAAAGAATTCCTAACAGATGGCTGACCAGCTGCACCTTGAATGCTTCCATGGCCTCCCTAGGTAACTGGTTCAATTCATATATTGCTTGGACTGTCAGGAAGTTTTTCCTGCTATTCAGCCAGAACCTAGCTTCCCATAATTGGACCCATTATGCCATATCATCATATTTCTCCTCCCTCTTCTCTTTCCTGGGTGAAACATAGCTAGTTTTCCCAGTCTTTTCTCCCACTTCTTTGCTTCCAGTCCCCAGACTATCTTTGTTGATCTCCTTTGAACCTTTTCCAGTTTGTGGTGCCCAGTACTCCAGATGAGGCCTAACCAGTGCTGAATAGAGGGGAACTGGTATTTCATGTGATTTGGAAGTGATACTTCTATTAATGCAGGCCAAAATAGTATCCCCCTCTTTCTGCAGCCAAACCACATTGTTTGACTTGTATTCAGGTTGTGATCTACAACAAAGCATCCTCTGCCATGTAACCATGTGTTTAGTTTCCTTTCTTAATGGTGCATGGCCCATTAGCTGAGGTTCCTTCCTCATAAGACAATTGTTTGAGGATGTTGTCTCAGTAGGGAAATACACTCAGTTCATGCCTTCTATTTCCCAGCAAGACTGCTAGTGTGGTTTGCTGCACCCCCAATTCCAAAGGAGCTGACTGGCCTGGTAAGGCTTTCCTGAGATTTTCCAGTCTCAGACTACAGGAAAGCTGGGGAGATGGAGGTTCAGAGAATGGTTTCATGTATCCCCTGACTGGGAAAGAACTAAATAGCATATTCCTACTACTAGGGAAGTGGCCTGAGTCTTGTCTTCATTAAAGTCCTCCACTGTGTCTTGAAAGGTCCACAAGGATCTCTCAGAATTGCCAAGATATTTTGAGAAGGGCACAAAAATTGAATTCGTTTCAAAGTAACTTAAATGTGTCGTGAAGATGCAAAGTGTGTTCTCTAGGAACTAAGATAGCAGCAAAATTACTAGATTACACTTAGTGGATTACAATGGTATCCGCTGAATAGAGTTCCAAACCTTCATTTTTATTTTTTACTCTTTTATGCAAAGAGGAAACTGAACCATCAAACTTTATCTGCTTCCAGGATGTTTACTAGGGATGCCTCTTGTTCTTAGATTGTTCTTCTGTTCTTCCTTGGCTAGTGAATGTGCTCATTGAGGCATAACATCAGTAAACATAGTCTAGTAGAACTAGGTAAAGAAAAATGGGCAGTTCACACCTGAATAGCCCAAAGACTGGGGAAGAAGGGTCTATTGCAGTTACATTCTTTCCCTCTTCCCATTGTTTCCTGGGTTCAGAATTTTACTTTCCTAATTAGAAATGCTAGGAGGAAAGAATGAATGACCCCATTGATAAGAAATGTTCATCTTACATGCATAGCATATTCTGTTTGCAGATTTTATTATGAAGTATATATGATTTTCCCCTTTCAGGCTTGCTTTTGATATCATTCAGTGTTTAGAGCAGAGAGAATGAGTAATTGAGGTCTCACCCTACAGATTTCATACCTCATAGCAATGGAATACAGGACCGTTCTTCTGCCAAATGTATGAGCCCATCGCTTAGAGCATTTATTACTAAAATCTGCATCTGGGCTTACAGGCTTTCCATAACTATGCACATGCCAGTTTTATTTCCTGGTTTAAGTGGGAACTGCTGTTGCCCTATACATCTTCAAAAAGAGGTGAGAAAAATAAGAAGTCTTAAATGTTACCCAGGATCATTCTTTCTGCTTTCATTCTTCTGTCTGTTAGTGCTGCAGTGGCCGAAAGAACATGGTCCATACAGAAAAGGAAAGTATCAGCTTAGGGAAGCCCAGAGTTGCAGGAGTAGAAAACATCTTTGTGGGGGGTGGGGGAGGGCAAAATAGTCCAGTTGAGCATGTTCAGCATACACAGAATGCTGACTCACTGTTAGATGGTGGATAGAAAACTGGGAGGTGGGATGGGATGGGATGGGATGGGATGGAATGGGATGGGATGGGAAGGAGTAGCTGGAATCTTGAATGAGAACTTCTTTCTGCAATTTGTTAGATGTTTCACTTGCCATTTATTGTTTTTTATAAGTTAAATAAATCCCAGTAGTTTTAAGTGGCAAAGTATGATCTCTTG